TGGAAGGTGCAGGAGATCTTGGATAGAGTGGGAGAACAATGTGGAATAAAACTCAAAATCATTTTTAAAAAAGACAAGTGTTGCTGGTCTGATAGAGCCTGGTGAGACCCCCAAGAATGTGGCCCCTAATTACCCTTCAGGTCTGGAATTGAACTCACGTCCAGCCAAATAATAGACAGGCATATAGTGTGAACATTTACATCAAGTAGATAGACTCCTCAGAATGATCAATCATAGGAGAACAGAATGGTAGTATTTGCACAGGGAGATAGCTCAAGGGACAGGAATGCAAAGGAGAGGACACAGGGAAGAGGGAACTACAGGGAAGAAGTGGGAAGAGAGCTGTTAACATTGTGGGAAATTGCAGTCAGTGTCATGGAACAAAAAGTGTATGAACTGCTGTATGGAAAATGAATTTGCTCTGTAAATATTCACCCAAATCACAATAAAACTTTTTTTGAGGGGTGGGGGGAGATGGACCCAGCAATCCCATTACTAGGTATATATCCTAAAGAAGTGAGAGCCAGGACAAAAACAGATATATGCCCACCCATGTTCATCACAGCACTATTTATAATAGCAAAAAGATGGAAACAACCTAGGTGCCTATCAACAGAGGAGTGGATAATTAAACTATGGTACATACACACAATGGAATACTATGCAACCCTAAAGAACAATGTAGAATCTGCAAAACACCACATCACATGGATGAACTTGGAGGACATTTTGCTGAGTGAAGTAAGTCAATCATAGAAGGACAAATACTGTATTAGTCCACTATTGCGAAAAGTCAAGGAAAGATTTATATATAGAATGAAACTTTCTTTGTTGCTTAATAGGGATGAGGGCGGGGATGGAATATACAGTCATTGTACCAAAAGAATTGGTCAGTGTTAAGTTCTTTCAGGAGGTAGCAAAGAATCAAGAACCAAAGGTATTAAAGGAAGAAGTCCAAGCTGCACTGAAGGAATTGGCGAAAACAAGGCTCCAGGAATTGACAGAATATACATTGAAGTGTTTCAACAAATGGATGCAGCATGGAAGGCACTTACTCATTTATGCTAAGAAATTTGGAAGACAGTTACCAGGCCAGCCAACTGGAAGAGATCCGTATTTATGTCCATTTCAAAGAAAGGTGATCCAACAGAATGAAGAAATTACTGCACAGTATCATTAATATCACACGTAAGTAAAATTTTGCTGAAGATAATTCAAAAACATTTGCAGTAGTACATTGACAGGGAACTTTCAGAAATTCAGGCTGGGTACAGAAGAGGGCATGAAACATTGGGATATCAATGCTGATGTCAGATGGATCTTGGCTGAAAACAAAGAATATCAGAAAGATGTTCACCTGTGTTTTATTGACTATGCAAAGGCATTCAACTGCGGATCCTAACAAATTATGGATAACACTGTGAAGAATGGGATTTCCAGAACACTTAGTTGTGCTCATGAAGAAGCTGTACACTGACCAAGAGGCAGTCATTCAAATAAAACAAGGGGATACTGCATGGCTTAAAAAGGTGGTGCATCAGGGTTGTATTCTTTCACCATACTTATTCCATCTGTATGTTGAGCATACAATCCAAGAAGCTAGACTATATGAGGAAGACTCATTAACAACCTATGATTCAGAGAAGACTTGAAGCACTTAATGATGAAGATTAAAGACTATAGTCTTCAGTTTGGTTAACGTCTCAACATAAAAAAAATCCTCACAACTGGACCAATAAGCAACATTATGATAAATAGAGAAAAGATTGAACTGTCAAAAATTTCATTTTACTTTGTTCCATAATCAGTACTCATGGAAGTAGCAGTCAAGAAATGAAACGATGTATTGAATTGAGCAAATCTGTTGCAAAAGACCTCTTTAAAGTATTAAAGAGCAAAGATGTCACTTTGAAGACTAAGGTGAGCCAGACCTAGCCATGATATTTTCACTTGTGACATTGCGACACATGCATGTGAGAGCCAGACAATGAATAAGGAAGCCAGAAGAAGAATTGATGCATTTGAATTGTGGTGTTGACAAAGAATATTGAATGTACCATGGACTACAGGAAGAGCAAAACAATCTGTCTTGGAGGAAGTACAGCCGAAATACTTGTTAGTGGTGAGAATTCCCAGATTCATCTCTCGTGCTTTGGTCATGTTGTCAGAAGGGACTAATTCCCTGGATATCACGATAGGTGAATTAGGGATCAGTGAAAAAGAAGAAGGCCCTGAACAAGATGAATTGACATAGTGACTGCAACAATGGGCCCGAGCATGGCAACGATTGTGAGGATGGCATAGGACCGGGCAGTGTTTTGTTCTGTTGTCATATGAATCGAAACCAACTAAATGGTACCTAACAAAAAATTTTATAAGGAGGGTTGGGAATTCCTACTTCCGTAGTGATACTGCCTCGGAAACCCAAGGAGGGGTCGCTATGAGTCGGGGCCGACTCGATGGCAAACAACAACAACAGTTCATTTTAGCCAACAGATTTCTACCCATAAGGTAAGCAGGGATAGTTTCACATAACGTAAAGGTGTGGTCAAGATCCTATGTTTGTTGGTGGCAAGGAGAGAGACAGTTTTTATTTTGGTTAGACATACCTACCACAGACATGGTATTGTTACTCTGAGGAAAGGGTTGGATAAATGTGGCAGGATTTATGGTGGAGAGAGAATCCTCAATATCTATTAACAAACACCTCTCCCCAATTATTATCAAGTCAGTTCTCCTTGAGAGTTCAATGATAGCAAGAAAACGAGTTGACTAGGTTTTTCCTCAGAGTCCTGTCAGCATGAAGCTATAGATGATGATAATTTTTCCAAATTTTCCAAACATCTTTGCTAGGAGGTGGAATTTGAGATCTTTGGAAAGGAGGCTTCTTATGGGTGTGCTAGAGCTGTTGTACTTGGACGGCCATGAGTTTGTTAAGCCATCTGAGGCTCTCTTTAGGAGCTCTGGTGGTGTAGTGCCTTAGGCATCTGACTGCTGACCAGAAGGCTGGCAGTTCAAACCTACCAGCCACTCTTCGGAAGGAAGGTTGGGCAATCTACTTCCTTAGTGATACTGCCTCAGAAACCCAGGAAGGGGTCACTATGAGTCGGACCCCACTCAACGGCACATGACAACAACAGTGAGGCTCTCTTTACTCCAGAGCTCTTTCATGATGCATGAACATATAGACTATGGAAGTTTAGGAGGCAGCAGAGCATTTTTTGAATAAATGAGCCCATCTCTGTACTTGAACTTCAAATAAAAGAAGGATCTGCAAAAGCAGCTGACCCTGGGGCACTGAGAACACACGATTTCCTCCCCGTCTGATGGGTCAAGAAGGGGGGGTTCACGTAACCTAGGAATAGATACTCAAAAATTCTGAGGTCTGAACCCAGAGAACTCAACACAAAAGGAAGAGCTTGGATCCAGGGGAGACTCACCCAAGTTCCTTAGTTGTGCCAAAGGAACAGGGACCAAAAAGACCCAAGTGGGTGTTGTCAACTGATCTCCCACCAGCAGCAAGTAGTCTTTGGGCATCTCCAGATCCCACTTCTGATACTAGAAACTGTCAAAGCACAAAATGAACTAGTAAAGTATACAGGATTTATTCAAGCAGTTAATCAGTATGCAGGCAAGGAGACCTTTCTGTTTCAGAAATACAGGAAGGCTTGTCTTAGGCTAATTACAGTGAGTTTTTTAAGGAGAAAAGAGGAAATGTGGAGTGGGAAATTAAACATTTACTAACCTTTGGCATATTTATCTTGGATTCTTTGTACAAGATACATTTGGAGGAAGTTTATTATTGTCTTGTCACAACTAGAGACTTCTGTGACTTTATGGTCACTGTGTCTCCTGTATTTCTGTTTATACTTTGGTACATTCCACAATGGTCAGAGACCTTTGTGAATTTTCCTATGTGCTCAGAGGCATTTGTCAACTTTGGTCTTCAGTTTCTCTCTTTAATAGATGTTTAGAGTAAGGGAAAGAAAAGAATAGAAGGTGATTCAGATTTTAGCTTTTGCTGCAGGGAAGATGGTAGTGCTGTTTACCGAGAGAAGACAAGTTGGGGGAGAAGGAAGAAATAGATTTGTGGGAGAAAATAAAGTTAGATTCGGCACATGTTGGAGATGTCATACAGTAATTTTTTAGTGTGAATCCTGGGTTCAGTAGAAAGCTATACCTAGAGATAAATATTCGGGACTCATTGGCATAATGATGATATTTATACCCATAAAAGGAGGAACAGGAGTGCCTAGGTGGTGCATACTGTCAATGCGCTCAGCTGCTAACCGAAAGGTTGGCAGTTCAAGTCCACTCAGAGGTGCCTTAGAAGAAAAGCTTGGTGATCTACTGCCAAAAACTCAGCCATCGAAAACCCCTTACAGCTCAGTCCTACCCTGACCCACACAGGGTTACTGTGAGTTGGAGTCGACTCAGTGGCAATTGAGTTTTTAAGAGGAGGACCAGAGAACCCCGAAGTCACAGGAAGAAGAACCAGCCAAGAAGACTGAAAAGTAACACCTAGTAAGACAGTGGGGTGCTCTGGTGGTGTAATGCCTAAGGCATTTGACTGCTAACCAGAAGGCTGGCAGTTCAAACCCACCAGCCACTCCTCAGAATGAAGGTTAGGCAATCTGCTTGTAGTGAGACAGTGATGTTTGCAGAAGGGGAATGATATTGCAGCAGCCAACAGTGAAAAGCACTTCAAGAAGGAAGGAGTAGGCAAGTGAGGGGTTCCAAACATTGTTAAGGGGTACAGTGAAAGGAGGAAATACAGGTCTCCTTTATATTTGATAATAGTGGAGTGGGAACAGAAGCCCAGATTTTACTAAGAGTAAATATAAACAGGTAGGGGATCCATGTAGACTCTTCTCTAGCCACCACCCTATTCCTTGCTATCATTGTCATTCGTTATGGTGCCTCCATTACATTGATTCACACAGAAAAAGGGAAGTTACTTATTCATCTAAAATAATTGTGATTACTTACACTTATTTTAGGATCTGGATGATGTGTTGGAGAAAGCCAAGAAGGTAAGTCAGTATCTACAATTGCCTTATTTTACTAACTTCAAATAAAACTGATTGAAATTTAGATATACTATGCTGATGTTTCTTTAGCAGTTAGTAACTAGCATTTGTTGAGTATTTACTGTGTGTCAGACACTATGCCAAGCTCTTTATGTGCTTTATCTCATTCAGTGTTTCACAACAACTTTCTGAAGAAGTTATTTTCTAGCCAACCATCCCCCATCATATGGATAAGAAAACTGAGGCCTATTGATTAGTAAAAAGTTCAAAGACATACCACTAATAAAGTGAGAAAGACAACATAGTCTGGATCTAAAACCTGTGCTTTCAGCCACCACGTATGCCAGCAGTGTGGAACAAATTGGTCCATTTGTCATTTCTTAAATTCGTATTGATGAGCTGTACCCTGTCTCCTGAGTTGTTTCTGTTAACTTTCAAGTTGATCCTGATCCTGAGTTGTAGACTATTACTTCCCTAATAAACCACATAATAGTGAGTGTGGTCTGTGAGTTCTGTGCGCCCATTGCAATGAATTATTGAACCTAACAAAGAGTGCCATGAGAAGAACAACTGGTGTCAAAATTAGTATAAAGGTTGGAGAGTGGTATGTCTGACCTCCACTTCAAAGGAATCAGCTTTGGCTAATGTTGATTCTCCTCCTCTCTTGTGAAGTTAAAAGACATTACCACTTTACTTCATAGGATGGTTGTGTAGATTAAATGAGGTAACATTTCTGTTCATCGATCATAGTGCCTGAAACATAGTAAGTTCCCTTTATTATAGTAAGTCTGTGGGTTACGGAGTCTTACTTACAGACAACTTGTACTCACCTTTTAATGTTATATAAATTTGCCTTTACTTTGAAACAAACCAACCCTTACTTGTAACACATTCTTCTTTATCACAGTCACCTTTAATTGCTGCACGTACAGCTTTTAAATAATTGAAAAGAGTTCAAATATTTAACCCTTTTAAACTCAAAAGGGTTTTTTCTCACTAAAGTAAGGCTAAATACAAACTGTGTATACCTGTTTGACCTACTTACAAATTCAACTTAAGGATGCACTTAGGAATGGGTTGTGTTTATGACCCAGGGACTGCCTATGTATTAAAGCAGCATGGTGAACAGGGATAATTAAAATACACAGAACACTTTAAAATTATATTGTGTATGTTGTTTGGAACTCTTAAATATTCTGACTATTCTTTTTTGTTTCAGGCCAATGTTACGGCCCTTGTGACAGTTGCTGAACATTCAGGAGAATTTGAAAAGATCATGCAGCTTTCAGAAAGGTGCTACTTCTAATGAAGATTTTAAAGAGTTGCTTTTATGCAGTGTCAGATTTATAATATCAAATATTATCCATTTTCAAAGAGAATGAGAAGGAAAAAGCACCTTAACATACCCCTAAAAAGAGATTCTACTTGTTCTTCAGAGGAATCTTGTAGTCTGCTAGTCTGCTATCCCTGCCTGCTTTCTTACTTCATCCCACATTTTTAGGTACAGTGGATTTATCCTGCCATGCTTGGGTATCCACCCAGTTCAAGGATTTTCACCAGAAGACCAAAGAAGTGTCACATTAAAGGTAACAGCCACGATACAACAAGACCTGTACAAAATGATAATACCTTTTGACTCAGTATCCTTTTTCTAATTTAGTCCAAGGAAATAATGTGAAAGGGGGAAATACGATCTTTCACAAAGATGTTTGTTGTAACATTATTTATGATAAAGAAAAATTGGAAAGAGCCTAGAGGTTAAGAAATAAATGAATCACTAGTTAGCCTGTAAAGTATTAAATATACTTCATTTATTGGAAATGAGGATTACAAGATTTATGTAGCAATTTGGAAAACATGTGCAGTATAATATAGAGGGGAAAAGCAGAATACCAGATGGTTTAGTCACTGTGAGTGACTACCATGCAAAGTATGTTCTATTAAGAAAAGACTAGAGAGAAAAATACAAAAATGATACAGCTATGATGATCTGGTGGCATTATTGAATTTTTTTTCACAGTTTTTCTCATGTTATCATATTGTTTTGTTAAAAAAAAAAAAAAAAAAGATAGCTGTGGTGGTTAAGTTTGTGTGTTAACTTGGCTGGGCCTGGTTGAGTGGCTGGATAGCTGAATGGAGTTATTCCCCATGGTGAGATTGGTAATTTACTCCATGCTGGAACCTATAGGAGCAACTGAGTAGCTGCTTTAGGGCTGTGGTCTGCTTCCCATACATAAGAAACAGCTTTAGAAATGGTCTCTAGCTTATGGTACACTTGAACCCTGCATGTAGCTGTGTCATTGTTCAGCAGCCTGCCATGCTCTGCCAACCATGGGACTTTCAAAGGACTTGAATTAATGGCCTGCTGTGTAGTTTGGTAATATCGGAACTGTGCCTTATCAGCCTTGGGCTTGTCAGCCTCAGTAGCCAGCAGCTGAGTGAAGAAAAGTCTCCAGCTTCAGTGGGCTGAGAGCAGGAAGCAGAGCTGAAGCCCAAGATTAAGAGGCATTCATTTAGTCTGTCAGTCACTCAGTGTTTACTAAGCACCTGCTGCATGCCAGGCACTGCTCTGAGCACTACAGTGAATATGATTCCTCTTGTGGAACCTAGATTCTAGATGGGGGCAGGCAGACAGACAATCAGCAGTTAGTACCCGAACTGGAAAACTTTGGATAGTGCTCAAACTCAACTGCCATCGAGTCGAATCTAACTCATAGCAACCCCTCCTTGGGTTTCTGAGGCAGTATCACTACAGAAGTAAATTGCCCAACCTTCCTTCCGAGGAGTGGCTGGTGGGTTTGAACCGCCAGCCTTCTGGTTAGCAGTCAAATACCTTAGGCACTATGCCACCAGAGTGCCTATATATAGGATATTCATTTTTTATAGTGTTGAACCTTTAAAATAAAAATAGGCCCAGCAGGACTGTAAAGATAGCAGAAATAAATGAAAACAGTTTAAAGAATGTATGGGATTAACACTGTTAAAAACTTACAAATCATTTGTGCTCTAAGAGAAGAACTCAACACAATACATGGCCAAAAACTTATCTACAAAGGTGACCCCTGGTGGCTGTCCTCTCTCTTGCTTAGCTATTCCAGGAAATCTAAAATTTAAAATAATCCTCTTAAATTAGGGAAGTCCTAAACAGAAGAGGGTAGTTTAGGTGGAAATACTCATACAAAGTCATATTCTTGTAACCTGAATGAGTTTATTTAGCATATGTATCTACACAAATTCCCAGTTAGAGGTGTGCACCATCACAGAAGGATTACTGTCCCTCATTTCCTGAGTGGTGACAGGATTAAATGCATGCAAAGCACCCAGCATAGCATAGTTTCTATAAGAGATGTTCATGAAATACCAGTTTTCTTTTCCTTCCATTTTAAGAATGTACTTTCTTTCTTTCAGGATTTGGATGTAGCTTTGCCCATTATTGAAAATTACAAGGATCGATTGTTGGCAATTGGAGAGGTAAACACCCATTAGCCAATCATGACTTCTAATCCGGGCAAAAATATGACAGATGAAAATAATCTTTAGTTTAGTACTGGTGAATATAATTTACTTGGTTAGCTATGTTTACTAGTACACTGAGTATTAATCCAAGGAGCTCTGATGATGCAGTGGTTAAAGTATTTGACTGCTAACCAAATAGGTCAGCACTTGGAACTCACCAACCACTTCACAGAAGAAAGATGAGGTACTCTGTTTCTGTAAAGATTTACAGTCTTGAAGACCTATTGGGGCAGTTGTACTCTGTCCTGTAGGGTCGTTATGAGTTGGAATTGACTTGAGGGCAGTGGATGGTAGTAATAATTTATTGATACTCTCTCCATAAGCAAAAGAGTTTGGGAATGAAACAATAGAAAGTCTCACCATGGGCTTATCTTAAAGGGAGAAAACTACCTTCATGTCGTTGTTGTTGTTATGTGCCGTTGAGTTGGACCTGACTCATAACGACCCCTCCGTGGGTTTCCGAGGCAGTATCACTATGGAAGTAGATTGCTCCATCTTCCTTCCGATAGTATTTTAATATGTAGTAGTTTCTCATTGTTCGTGATAGTTAAGTTTTATAAAATCTCCCCAGGCACTGAATTATTGAATACTGAACCAATGCCCTAGGAACAATACAGAGTTAGGCTTCAATGAGCCTTTGGCCACAATATTTTCTATATAATACAGTAATGCAAATAAGGAAAATATTGGAAAAATATTAAAGATTAAGCCTTTAAAGTTTATAAAAAATACTCACTAAAAGCTTAGTTTGCTCAAGCTGCAACCTCCTTTAAATAGAGTCAAGTTAATAATTAAGAAACATTTTTAATTCAAGTAATTTACATGAACTATAAAATAATTGTGAACTATTTTAATCACTAGGTAAAAAATACTGTTTCTAATTAAAGGATAATACTTAGAATATAGATTATAACAATGTATGTCAAAATAATATCAAGAAAAGCAGCTGTCTAAAATCTGCTCTGTCCCTCACGTCTCGGATCAAGTGTAATAAAACCTGCACTGTCCAATACAGTGGCCACATGCAACTATTCAACACTCAGAATGTGACTGTCCTGATTCACACAGCAAATTTCAAAGATTTAGTACAGAAAAAGAAAAAAAATATATGTATATATAAAACTCGTAAGCTTTTATGTTGATTAAATACTGAAATAGCTAGGAGGCGGGGCAAGATGGCGGACTAGGCAGAAGGATTGCACAGACCCTCTTCAACAAAGAAAAGGGAAACCAATTAACACAGACACAGAAG